AGTTATTAACTATTAACTCTTCTTGAGCTTGACTTTTGGTTTGTATTTTGTAATATCACTATTTTGTACTTATAGTTGTTGATGGTTGTGCTTATGGTGCAACTTTGTGCTTATGGTTGTTGATTGTTGAATGCTTTATGAAGCTGGTTTCAAGTTTCTAGTTTCTATCAGGGAATAGTGGATAACTGGATACAGAATCTCGGACAGCTAATAGTTTTGAAGTTAATCATTAAACTAAAATACCTACTAATACATATATCACCTTCATATATTTTTTTATGCATTAACTTTTTTTTTAGATTTTTTAGAATTTTTTTACATTTATTGACCGCATCATCACGATGCACCCGCATCCGGGCCGCATCGGCCCCCCACCGCATCAGGGCCACATCCTGCATTTTAAAACACTGGAATGGCACCTACAAAATTTAATCCTAGATCACCATGCTTCTTGAAATGGAACAAACTGATGATTTTATATGAAACCCCAATCTAGTGGAGGGTTCGAACCAATAATTTCCCTAACATTTTTTTAATAATAATAATTTAAAAATAAAACATATGGGTCTAAATCAAACGCACACAATTCCAAAATAACTAATAACACTAAGAGCACCCATAAGTGTCAACAGACATGCATAACTAACAATGAAGAAATTTGTATTGAGAAGCAGACACGATTTCTTACTTGTCCTATGCCTCACATGTCCATATAGAAGACACATTATGTCTTCAAATAAATAAATAAAAGGAAATTTCCAGACATGCATGTCAACACAGATTTCCTCTGTTTTTATTCATGCCATGAGCATCAAATTGCATGTCTAGTTATTTGGCATGTCTCATTCTCCTAAACGCATGTGACACACATCATTGTTATCGAAGCTTATCATCTGTTTAAAGGCACAAAATGCAAACACATGTGATGGAAAAAAATTGTAAAGACATTTGGGACAAAACAAAGTTTTGAATCTCACTCAGCCAAAGCAGCAGGATCCCATGACGATGGAACTTGTTGCTTAACATGGTCACATAGTGTTAACTGTGATTTAGTGAGTTGAACACTGTAGAACGTTATGAACCACCCATCAAAGGCAAGGATTTGTGAAGCAGCTGCATCCTTCTGCCAACACCCTGGAAAACCAAACATAGCATTGAATAGACCTGATGGAATTTTACCCGAAAGAGACAGATCACGATTGAAATGCTCTGACATCTGCAGCAACAACCAGAAAGTGAAAAGATATATCACATACTATGTACCTTTATTGTGTAGTAAACGATAACCAGTTTCAGTAAACTTCAAGTACAGTTAGTCGTCGTTATAGGTGATCTGCACAAGAATGAACACCATAGATATATCCACTCCATTCAATACAATCAAACATATAGGCCTTATCTATCTAATTTCCATTTGAACACACATTGATACTACAGATACTGACCATAGGCTCGTCAATAAAAAGAGGGATTGAAGGCATGGATCTCAAATGACGCATGCCCACAAGCATGAAGCACAAAAGCTCACCTATGCCATTGTAGAAAGTAGAATAGAAATAAATTGGAAAGGAGGGAAGATAACTTACATTATACAGGTCCTAGTAAATTGTCGATAAAATACAGTGGATGGCCCAATGAATTTCTCTTGGCTAATTCAAACCAACTTTTCAAGGCAATCTACAATTCAAAGTGTCTAATGTTACACTCTCTGGATAACCTCACCAAGTTTCTTATAACGCTTGAGGCCATGCACAACTAAGTAATTCTGATTAAACTGAAACTGACTTTGTTGCCAAAATGCCAAAATCTAAACTTATAAAAGTTGACCCACTAATAAATGTGTAATTTTAAAAAAAATTAAGACTTGCCCATAGACACGCTTTTATTTTCTCATTACTCTTTATCATTTTACTTGAATAAACACATTGATAGCACGCTTTAAAAATAGAATTCCAACATCATGCCATAATTACAAAGTAAAAGAAAAAAATTAAACCCAACAACCAAATTCACTCGCATATGTCAACTCACTATGTAATATGAAATTGGTTTAAATGGCCGAACTTGAAAGGAATAGCTTGCTTTATAAAAGCAACTCAACCCATATTGTCAAACAAAAATCCAAAATTGACAATCAAAATCCACTACTATATGTTAAACCAAAAAGTAAAAAATTCTGCATGTGTAATGAAAGTGAAATTTTACCTGCTGAAAAGAAAGAACATCAGATGAAAACCTTGTCCTCTCTCCTTTGCCATAGGTAATCGATTTAGGAACATTCGAAACTATAACACCCACTGGTAAATCAATATCTCGAACCAAGGTTTCTTCAATCTTGATCAATCTCAATCCCGAAGGCCCACGCTTGCATCTTGACAACCAAATATCATCAGTTAGATCAAAGCCAGAACCAACGGCCCAGATTGCTTTCTCTCCAGCTATCTGAGGGTCCATTGGAAACCTCTGAAACTCCATTGCGGACCAATCTAGGGTTTTTTACCCAACTCTTAAAGGAGTTGCAGAGACAAAGGGGTTTTCTAGGCTTTTTGCTGATGAGCTGGAAATTTGGGCTAGGGTTTTGTTACATGAGATTAGATATGAAAGTTCTAGGGTTTTTTGAGGCCATGGAAATGGGTTCAGCCACTGGTTCAGCGACTTTGGACGTCACCCTCACTTACGAATAACGTAAAAACGAGGTTTGGATTTTGAGATCAAACGGCAACTGTTTCCAAATAACGTAAAAAATACGTGCGAATTTTTAAAACGAGGTTTGGATTTCGGTTTCGTTTCTTTGGGATGGAACCGAAGTATACCGAAACTTCGTCCACAAAGAGGCATACTAGGTTTTCTACGCCATTTTGTTGAATTTCTTCGAAATTTTGGATGCAATGCGCAGCCAATTTTCCAAGGGTGTGGTTTGTATAAGCTGGGGCCCTAAACAATTTCAATACTAGAAATCTTTGTGGTGGCTTGAAAATTTATTTTTATTGGAAATTATAAAATTTAAAACTTTAAAAGCAGTGTAGATTAAGCAAATCTATGATGAAAATTTCAAAAATTGACCGTTCAAATATGTATTACTAGATATACTATTTTTAAGGCTTTAAATCCATTTTTTCTTGTGTCCATACATCTTGAGGTCGAGATGATCAATAGGATGATTTTTGGGCCTCAAAACAACTTTTTTAGTGAATTTTTGAAATACGCCCTAAATTGATTGTTAGTTTCGGCCTTATAGAAACCTTTTCCATATTCCAATCAACTAAATATAATTAAATACTTTTTTTGATAAATTTTCAATTAAATTCAGCCAAATTTGGATGTTACTTATCATGAGATCGGAGTCTGCTACCAAATATTTAAAAGACCTTTATAAAAGGAAATGTATGCAATGAGATCCCTTCTTTTTAGTACAAGGTAGTCACGATTACTATTGATTGTTAGATATAACATCCAGTGTTTGGGAATGTGACATTAACAATGCACAATAGTAGAATCAAGATTTTGCAAATGTTGTGACGCATTTTGATCCATTAAATATCATATCTACTGGCTAAGAATGATCGTAACTTTTGCATCAAAAGTAAATAGTCTCATAATAACCCTATTTAATTAAATGAGAGTATTTACTTTCTCTAGAAAGATGTCACAATTAATCTGAGCCATCAAATATAAAATTAATGATTGTACTTTTGACTATGTGCCTAATAAATTGGTCACTCCCATCCCCCAATTGAAAATCAATGGGTTAATAGCAATTGAGCCCTCCTTCTACCGAAAGGAGATGGTCTGTATGCACTTTTCTACATTATTTAGAGAAGGACGAGATTTTGGTACGTTGACACACTCTCAAGCGTCGTCACGATTATCACCGACAATTTCAGTTTATTGGTTTTTTTTCTTGTGATATTTTCGGGGAGTGACGTTAACTTGAATACAATCCCAATAATATTAATTTATCGCGATAATTTTTGCAAGACCAGCTATGTTTTTATGAGAACGGAATATTAGGCGATCATATGATAACTTTCGTAAAACTAGTGATATTTTATGGGTCACGATCATTTCTATAAGGCCCTTATGGGAGGCGATAATTTTTGTAAGATTAGTCCTGCTTTTATGAGATAGAACATTAGGCAGTAAAAAAATAACATATTTATAGAATGATGATATTTATAAGAATGAGTAGCAAAATAAGAAATGGTAAAATTTAGAATAAATACATTCGAAAGAACTTAGGAGTGGCTCCAATTCGGGCTGGCCACAGGCTGAGTCTGGCCCTAGTTCTCATAGGGCCGGGTCAACCCTAACAGGGGCAAAATAGCCCTACCCTAGCCCTATCAGAGCTCAGCCAAGCTAGGCTAGGCCAAATAAAATAAGAAAAAATAGAAAAAAAAAAAAACTAAGAAAAAAAGAGGGCAAGGCTAGGCCAAACCAGGTTGATCATGGCCCATGCCCAACCCATCATACCCTCGGGCCATGGTTGCTCAGACCTCAAGCCACATTTTGTGGCCCAAACCGTAATTTTTTAGCCGGGCCACTCGGCCTATTGCCACCCTAAGCTTCAATAAGTAATAAGATGAGGGAAATTATGCTTACGTGATCCCGAGAGACGATTTGGTTCAAGTGGAAAGCTTTAAAAGAGCAAAATAATGCCTAAAAAGCTTTGGATGGAACCAGTGAGAAAAGATATGGTGACTCACAGTGAATGAAGATATAGCATAGAGCACAATGGTGGAATCGAATTTTTATTTATTTTTATGATAAATGCCCAAGTGGAAGAGCATGAATCCATGAAGGTCCAACCATCCAAAAATATAAGTATTTTTTAATATATCAATTATATCACAACGATGCTAAACTTTTTTATTCTCCTTTTGCCAAACTTTTTTTATCTAGATATATAATATTTTTTCATGGAAAATTTCCCTTTGAATTCCCATTTAAATCGGCTATATTAAGATTACCATTCGAGGGAGGCTCATTTGATATCCAAAAACTGCTCAGCAACAATCATACAAGTGGGTAATATTGAGGTGAACCAGAAAATTTTGGATAGAGCTAGATCGTAATGTTGGGGTGAACCAGAAAATTTTGGATAGAGACGGGATCTAAATGTTTGCTGGATATGTAATAACAAGAGTAGTTATGAACCATGTAAACCATCCCTATGCTATGGTTCGGTGATCTCCCACTCTTTTCCATCTTCCAATTGTTTACTAGGTGCTCCATATATCTCAAATTTTCAAGTATATACTCATTTTAGTTAACAAATAAAGCTCCATAGAATGAAGCCTCTACCTGATATTCAAGACAAGTATAACAGGTAAGTTTCAATTATTCATTAATGCAAAAATTGATTTTTATAATATTTTGAAGTCCTAATAATTTTCTGATAAAAATGGCTTGCTCGATAATATCCCAAAAAAATCCCTATCGATAGTAAACTGATATCGAAAATTATCACTAAGTTCTCAAGCGCAGGATCCTTCCGAAATCCATACCTAAGGGGAATTGTTTTATCCAAATTTCAAGCACCATGATCATAAAATCTATATTAAAAAAACACAAAAAATTTAAAACATAGACAATTTAAAAGTTTGTTTTCAAATTTCCGAGCTTAGGAAGACTCGCCATTTTTGGAAAAGTAAGACGGTGCTGATGGCATCAAACGTTAATAAAAAAAATTCAAAAACATTGTGGTCCAGCGGACCACCTAAAACATAATTCGATAAAGTGGAGATAATGGTTGGTAATCGGGGGATCCGACTATGTACTTTAAGGGTGTGTTTCATACCTGAAGTTTTTGAGAGTAGAAAGGATTCTCCCACAAATTATGGAAGACTGCTCTTCTATCTCTTTTTATGGAAGAGAGGGCTTAAAAAAATGAACACATTTTAACACTAAAAAAAAGCTGCATAGAAAGTTGCCCATCCACTTTATAACTTCCACATAGTAATATCAAACATAGAAGTGGGACATTTAACTCCCACTTCCAGGAACTTCTACTTATCAAACATACCCTAAAAGAAGTATAAAGTAGAAAAAAGTTTACATAAGATTGTCACCCACCTCGAAAATCTTTTGAAACACGTTATTTTGATATCCAAAAACATCTAATCGATCATCTTGACATTGAGATGCATAGATATAGAGAAAAAAAAGAGATTTCAAGTCTTAAAACTAGTGCATATACCCTGGTATGTCAATTTTTAAGATTTTCATGCATTTATAGATCTATTTGATTTAAACCAGTTTTAGAGCTTAAATGCTTATAACCAAACATAAAAATAGATTCTCACAATTTTCTGCACCAAAATTTCATCTCATGACAAAGTATTACTTTAGTTGTTTAAGGTTGCAACCTTATGCAAACCACACCCTATAAAATATAAGGCGGTACGAGAATCCAAACCTTGTAGTAGTCCCTATACTTCAAAAAAATTAAAAAAAAAAAAAAATACATACATATCCGTTATAGTTTCCATTATTATGGCTCTACCGAATAGTTTTGGTTATTACCATCATGTTTGTTTTTTTCATATCAAAAAAAAAAATTAAAAAAAGACTTTACCTTTTTTTGGTTGTTGAACAACCAAATTCAAAGTATTTTTGGTTGTTCACAAACTAAAAATACACCAATTTCAATGTATGACAAAAAATAAGGATTAAAAAAAAACCGATTCATATTCATATGAGAAAGACTAATTAATTAATCACGAGAGACATATTTTGTATCCAGCGGATTTATTGCAGAATCATAAAAAAAAACTTAGCAAACGTTACAGATATGATCTTTTATCATATAGATATATCAATTTTGGGTTCTTGATAAAACCTTAAATTTTCGATTGCTTCAAGAACCCAAAAATGTTTTCTCTCTTGTGACGTATTTTCTTTACCTCTCTGAAGTCATAGTTATCCGATAAAATCAAAAGAGAACAACTAGTTTGTGCCCTTAAATTTAGGAGAAATCTTACAGATTATGAGATTAGAAGATTAGGAGAAATCAGTAGGGAACAGCTGGTTTGAGACCCTAAATTTAGAAGAAATCTCAAAGATTATGAACTTACCAAAAAAACAACTCGGTGAAAGGGATACAGAGAGTTTAAAAAAAAAAACTATTTTTATCCAAGTAATGTAGAGAGAATGGTAGAGAGAAGATACGCAGACTCACAAGAGAGAAAAAAGATTTCAGCTCTTAAAGAACCGAAAATTTTAAATTTATGATTATTCAAAAATCGAAATTGGCCCCGTTTTCAATTTTTGAACAACCGTCGATTGTTCAACATCCAAAAAATGGTAAAGTCGTCTTTTTTTTAAATTTCCGTTTTGACATGAAAAAACGGACATGAAAGTAATAAAAAAAACTATTCAGTACAGCCGTAATAATGAAAACTATAATGCATATGTATGTAATTTTTCCAAAATAAAATAAAAAAATACTTTGATGTTTTCAACCTCCGACCGAGGGACAAAATAGGAGAAGAAAAGATCAGGGTATTTTTATAAAAAATCCCAGTCCGATGCTGTAAATATCAAACCGATGTACCTCAACATAAATTTTTCATAAATTGGGACCAGTCCATAATTGTCATATTTAAAATATTTAAAATTGGTACGGCCATAACTTACAAATACCATATATCAAGAGGCGCTTTGACGACTTGCCTTGTAGTACCATTCCGAGGGCGGGGCGGGCAGCTCTTTTTGTTTCTCTTGGGTGACAAAGCACCTCTCCATGGCACCTTTTTCTCATCCATTCTGCCCATCCAGATGGGACGGTGCCCCTTCTCACTATTGGCTACTACCCTTCCTCCCTTGATATATGGGGCTATTTAAACATGAAGATCGTAGTATGCTCAACTTTGGTTGCCGATCAAACTGTTTTTCTTGTGTTTTCCATTACTCCCCATGGGAATTTGAAATGAATCAGTTATGTACAGAAAAATGGTAACGGCCTTTCAAATGTAGCTATGAGAGGCAAAATCATCAAACATGTTTCTTGTATTCTTCGTTATCCTCTAAGGGAGCAATCGATATGGGGAGGGGCTTGTAGGCGGAGCGGACAACCTAGAGGGTGCAAGAAAACAAAGGACATTGTCTGATGAAAAGTTGACTGAATCACACATGCTAGAGGAGCTCCATACTCAAAACTACACAAACACTTGATCCATCCTCACAATGAGTAGATGGGACGTTTGCGATCAAAGCTGGTTTGTGACTCAAGGACTTAAACCAGATGGAGAGTGGAAAGACACTTAACTGATATCTTCAACAAGGAATCAAACAGGACCAAAATGCTTGAGACCACCAAACTGCCACTTCAAGAATATGAATTTTTTCACAAAATGAATATTGACAAGCAACATGCAGCTTCAATTATATGTTGATCTCCCTATTCTAGTAGAGTTTTAAAAAAATGTATTACTCTATATGAAAAGCTATGGGTCACTATGAGTACCAAGTTTCATGACACAGAATTTACCAACACACATCACCCACTCCTCTCCTCAAAGCAACAAAAGACCAAGTCCCAGAAAAGCACCGCCTCGCATCTCTTTACTCTGTAGGATACCAATCCAAAGCCCAGAAAAGCACCGCCTCGCTTCTCTTTTCTCTGTAGGATACCAATCCAAGTCCCATAAAAGCACCTTGTGGTAAGTGAACCTCATCTTGTTGACAAGCATTGGATGGATCCATACTTCACTGAAAGATTCTTACTTCTTAACCCACCACCCACAGCTGCTAAAAATGAAATTTCGAAATCAACTTCGTTTCGTGTTATTTTCCCAAACACTTTCAAGTGCTTTATAGTTGGAGTTGAATTTTGTTGCTCCAAAAGAGTTGTTTCCTTGAGCATTGAGGCCAGGGAGTGCTCCCTGGGGTCCAGGTTGAATGAACTTACTTGGTTTTGTTCTAATCCCGAGCAACCTAAATACAAACCTCGCAAGCTAAGCATACAGTACCCCTGAGCAATCAATATCTGCAACAGACATTCAGAAGTGGAGGGAAAGGAGGGGAAGGTGGTCGTAGACAAGTTAAAACTTGGAAACAAGCAAAGTAATGTGAGCACAGGATAATAATTAAGGTAATGAAGGGATAACTAAGGTGAAAAAGAAAAAGAAGAATCACCTGAAGGAGCCCAGACATGAACATGTGGAAGGCATAGCTATTCTGATAAATTCGACCAATGAAGTCAAAGACAACAGTATCATCCAAAAGCACATACAGAAGCATCCCAGATTCATGATCCATAAATTTTAACAATTTTTACAGTTATGAATATTTTACAAAGCAAACAAAAGAGCAAGTAATTCCTTGTTGCAACCCACGAAACACCCAAGAATGGCACTGCATTAACAGTACATCAGTACATAACGAACACTTCCACCCATAAAATGCACCACTCGCCAGGAACCTAATGACTCGTTCACTAAGCATCTGATAACATTGAGGCAAGCCGTACACAAGTAATGGAATCAGTGATTGACTAGTGACAAGAACACCAAGCTAAGTAATAGCCACATAATGCACCCCTAATGGTTCGACAGATATAAGCATCTCTCTTTGGGAGTCCCAAAGTGAACCTTCAACCATGATGGAATAGGTCCTACAACAGTATCTATCAAATTGTCGACCTAAGTATTGTCAGGCATTAAAGAACCACATGCCTTCACCCATAAAACCGGCCCACCGCATTGAAACCCTTGACTCAAAATCAACAAAGGCCCACGAGATCAGTATCCTACACATGATCTCCCTCGAAGTCACTACGGAAGATTTATTCTGTCTAAAAATGTAGTTGTATCTCTCTCTCCAAATGCTCCAGAAATCCCAAGGATAACAATGTAGCATCTAAAATGGACAGAATCCACAGCCCAGCCAACAATCAAGCCAACCACGGTCCCATTGATATCCAACTACAAGCCGAAAGTTTGTAGCATTGAAGCCCATATTGAAGCGGCCAGTGAATAATGGATGAGCAGATGATGGTTAATGTTTCCTTCTCATTGAACATCAAACACGTGAAACGTCTATGATGTAAAAGGCTGTAAGAGAATACTGTGCTCTAAAAGGTCCTACAACGTCAAACAAAACTTAAGCACCTTAGATCCTCCTATCATGAGCCATTACTCATGGACCCTGAGACTGTCTTATGTCTAAAACAATACCCAACTTGAGGAAAGCATGTTCCGAAGTTCTCTTCAAAGAATCATGGTTGCGGTTAAGCTCTCAAAACATGGAAATGGTGGTTCAAGATGGGATTGCCACCAAATGGAGGCAGCCACAAGAGCAAACGTCTTAACTTTCCCATCTGGCCTCCTTAACATAGCGGCCAAAGATTCTTCTTCCATGGCATTCCCATTATGCAATAACTAGCCACGAGTATTTTCACTACACAATAACCAGCCATGTGAGTGCCATCAGAAGAGATATACAATTACACCATGGAAATGGCTAACAATGTGTATCCGATCAGGAGTATTTTAATCAACTAAGAACTACTAAAACATATTATCACTCCCCAGATTTCATAAGTTAGTATCACTTACTAAAACTAAAGGTACCCAATGCCATAATTATCATAAGATGATTATAAATAGAATTCATACAAGGAGAACCAAATCTTGCAGCAGATATCAGAATAACAGCCTTACCACTCGAAGGACGAAAATCCAAAAGCTTGGGGGTGATGGAGGGCCATACCCAGGATTGTAATTCATATTTGCTCCGTATTCTGCATTGACCAAGAATCATTCATGACAAAAATATTTTTAGATGCACTTATTGAAGAAGCAAGAGACGTTTTTATGAGCCAAAATCCAGAATCAAAATTGATGTTCACTACCACAATTGTTTCTGTTCTGCTCCCAAGCCCTACTAGGTTGAGGCCTTCCAGCAGGATTTCCATTCATAACAGGATTCCATTGAGCAACTGGAACTCCAGGTTTAGCAGTGCCAGAAGCCGCAACAACATCAGCTGTGCGGCCAGGAGCAGGAGGCTTAAAAGGTGACAGTCCAGCTGAGCTCTGCATACGTTCCCAAGGCTTTGGAGGGGGACATATTACCTGTAGAGACAGAAAATTGTAAACCAGAATGCACTAGTTTTCGGCACATGACTGCCTAAAATTTCCAATCACCGCAAGCTACTTTCACAAGTTAATGTATCAATCACACTATTTATACCACCAATAGTACGAAGCCCAACCGTTTATAAGCCTCTCATAATCCAAGCTTATATCAGAAGCAGATGACAGATAAAAAATCAGAAACTATATTCCAAGAATGATAACAATGCATGGAAAAAGATATGCAGGACCTTGACCGATAAACACATTCATTGCACATCATACATGAACTTTCCAATAGTTATCTTTTTTTCAATTTGGGGAATGTGAGTATGTCAGAGTTCAAAAACAGATCTCCAACAAAGTAGAACCCCTCTCTAGCTGGTCTACATGCAGATTCCTAACCAAATGTAATCCAAGGCATTGTTCTCAACCATGGAGAATAAAGAAATAATTCAAATCAACTCCAATACAATCATATCCATGTAATCAAGGGAAAGTTAAGTTAAGCAATTGAAACAAGATCCCCAGATGTCGTTCAGCATGGGAGGCTTGAGGAAAAGGTTTTATTCAAAATTGGAAAAAGCAAACAAGAATCAGAGAAAAAGAGAGTGAAGAACCTACAAGAAAAGAGATATTTGTGGACAGATTTTATAACAAAGATTAAAAGCATTATTTAAAGAGTGAGTTTAAAAGTAAGTTTAAGAGAGGAATTCTATGAATATCTTTTTCTTTTACTCAAACACTCGGTTATTTGGCTAAGCTTGGGACTGGGTTGAGCACTGAACGAAGTATACTTTTTAGACCACAGACAAGAACAGGGCGTTTGATGATAGATAATTTGGGAGGTTTAGTAGCAGTTCAAACAGGATCATTTCCAGCGAGTAACTCTGATCACAGGAGTATAACCAGATCAGGAAGAAATCGAGTCATTAAACATCATGATTCAGGTTCTTCAAGCCTCAGCCGAGCCACATGGAAGACTTATGGTGACTTGGATGAGTTGCTCAAATTGTTTAAGTTTTATTGTATATTCGATTTACTTGTTTTTTGTTTTACCAAAAGAGATTACAAGGAAGCTCAACAGAGGTCTAAGATATCCATGTATGTTCTCTACTTTGTCCCTTCTTAATTTCACTGACATGTATTGCAGTGCAGATTGTTTTCATTACTACGAGAAAGAAATCAAAGTTGCCAAAATATCAGTTAAACGTATCGTTGACATAGTTCATGCTCTCCCACCAAAGATCATGTTAAAATGAATTTCAAGGAAGTTACACGAGTCAATTTATTATAGGTATTGAACTCTAATTATAAACATTGCAAAGCTGTTTGTTCAGATACGAAAAGTTCGTCACTCTTAGCTGGTTTTCCTCAACTTTTAACTGCTTTTCCTTACATCACCAAACTCATTTAAAAACTCTTAGGAGTACATTGAGAATCTAATTAGCTACATACACAAAACCTAATCAAAGTCCTATAAATAAAGTTGGAAGTTAAAATCATATTAGAACTTTACCGGAAAAGCTCTGCAATATCAATCCTTCCAAGTATTATCACTTAAACAGATGCAATTCATGGCTAGAAGAGGAAATAAAACCACCTGGGTAACTATAAAATTCGGAGAAGGTTCATAACCCTTGCTTTCTTATCTTTTCAACCTATATTCTCCTGGATCTCAAACCCCAGGCAATCAAATGATCTTTCTGGTGTATATTCACTGATATCTGCACATATCTTGAGACATATTTCCAATTGTTACTAAGATGGCTAACATTCAACAGCCATAGTAAATTCAGATAAGCATATACGGGTCCCATTTTTTCTTTCGATGAGGCATGTGGTCAAATATGAAATGTTATTGAGATCCTTCTATTGTTTTTCTTTAAACTCAAAGATTAATCGTAAGTTTTTTTTCCCCTGATAAAGTTAACTTCCAATTGATCATAAGTTTGTTTCCTCAAGATATTCTTCTAGGTCCTCCAAATAATTCACATACTCTAAGTGGGCCTGGCAACACACCAGGTCAGCCCTGACATGGTACAGACAGACAGGCCAGAGACCTGGCCCAGGCCCTGACGCAGACTATGTTACATGGAGACAGGTACGCCTGTCAACGTCTTACACAGATAAGGACCGTCGGATTTCTCATGCCATGAAGAAAAGCATTCAGGGAGGCACCTATATTATGAAGAGACAACCAAAACCAGCAATGTTTTACTAATATTGCATTTCATGACAAGTAGCAAGAAATAATCAATTATACCTTAATTGGCTGAATCCATAAATATTCTAAATATTCCAGACATTTTCAAAGTTCACATCTGTCAACTAAAAGACAAAAAAGAAGGTCAAGCCTCTAAATTATGTAATCATGGCCGATAGACAAGAGAACAATCTAAAAGAATATGGTATGTATGTTGATACGTGCCCAATGTGGCTAAGGTAACCAAACAGAAAAACTCATGTTAGTATAGGACCCAGCCATTCGCAGGGCCAGCCAGGCTGTGCTGGGGGCCTTCCTTTATATGTGGCCGGGCTGGGCAGTCGGGCCATGAACTGCCTGACCTGGGCCCAAGTTTACCCAGGCTGGACAGTCCAGCCCATTGCCAGGACGAACTCTAAGTCCTAGATACTAATTCATAAAACACATGTTGATCATAGGGTAAATTCTGATGTAGAGGGATACAAATTAGAATCTTGTGAACTTCAACCTTCAAAACAGTTACACATTAAGCTCTGTATTGATAATTCTTTGTTCTCCTCAATCATTCGGACCCACACTCTCTTAACTGGATCTGCTTCCACAGAATATTAATTACAGGTGACCTCCATTTTCAACTTTGGGCATTTACAGTCTGCAATTCTGCGTACTACTGGATTAAAGATATACAACAGAAAATAAAAAAAAACAAAAGTCCTGTTGAACCAGATTACCTTCATTCATTGTTATCATGGATTCAGTTGTTATGTCCTTTATTTCTATTTCATCAGACATAGACCCTTCCAATTCTAATCTTTTACAGTCATGCATTTGAAATATCACAAAAGAAGTTGTACCGATTGACCACACTGGTTTTGCCAGGTTTCATACAATTATTTGAAAGAGCTTCTTGAGAGGGTTCGGAGTATGAATAAATTTATTTTAGCCTCTCTAGATGTTTTTACTTTTCTTATTGTAGCACTCTATTGCACAGCAGATCAGTAGATGACTGTTGCAAGGAACTTCTTTCTACAGTTTATCAGGCAAGGAGTAGGATGAAAAGGAGCTAGAAAGGAATCTCTTTTTTTATTATGCATAGGAATTTATGAATATTTTCAAGTGAGGCATGAGTCTAAACCCTTTTTTTTCTTCTTTTTTTTGAAATTTTTCCTGAAAGGCTCTTGGATTGGTGAATATTTCAAGTGAGACATCAGCGCAGGGTCAGTGTTGTTACCTTCCAGTCAGAAATGAATTTCATTACATTGATGAGCCACTTTGTTTGCAACAATATGGAGTATAGAAAGAAAATAATGGTCATACTTTTCATATGAGACACCTATAGCAAGAGAGGCTGCGAGATACAATGGCGATCATTAGATGTTACGGAGACCTGCTTTCCAGGGATTCACAACAGTAGAAGTACATCAAAGAGGTTCTAACCTCCGTCATGGATTTCCACATAGATCAAGACCAACAGTGACATCTAATGTAAAGAGGAAAACTCTAAGCCAGAAAGTTATGGTCATTCCATCTTGGTGAACAGGTCGATGTGCTGAAGTGTTATGTGTGGCCATTAAAAATCATAGATTCTTAATGGGCTCAAGCTAAACAAGAACTTATTAGCACTCAGATGACTGAAGACTTCCTCAAATCTGCAGGTTGTTGAATCCATTGACAACAGGTTCTTCTAACTGAATGTTTCAATTTCGTAAAATGAGCAAAAGTGGTTGAACGATCAAAAATTGCAAATTGGCTAATAAAGTCTTATCAAAAGTTAAATAGAAATATAAAATAGTTGACATGTGGTCCAGTGATGCAACTCAAAAACACAAAAAGGCCACTTACCTGACTCTAACACTGTTAAATCTACACAACAGGAAAAAGGTCAATCTTCCCTCAAAATTAACCAGTACCAAAATCCTCTGTAAAAGAACTGGAGATACCCACCTTAAAATCAATCTCTACCAACAAATCAGTACAAGAAAACTCTATAAATACACACCAATAAAGGTGGTAGTAGAAAACTGTCATTTGGAAGCTAGGAACCCATGTTTGGTGACCTATCTATGAAAACCGGATAAATCTATTGTCTTCAATTTCCCTGGTTTGCTAACCTGGAAATCTAGAAACCACTGATTTATCCATTAATTACGAAACTCATCGTTTTGATAATTAAAAGCCATACCTCAAGCCTAAACCACAATACAAGTATAGAAATCGGCATGTCTCCTCCACATAAGGAGGCTTACAACTGTTAACAAAGTAGAAATGTGTCTGAAACAAAACCTCCAATATCAAAAGACTTTCTTTTTCTTTCTTTGTAGGAAATAGGCTTGGAAGTTACTTGGGAGTTGGGTTAATAAGGACTAAAGATGAAGAGGTCACACCATGAGGCCAAAATAGAACGAACAAATATACACTTCTAAAGTAGCGTTGAGGTCCCACATTGCCCCAGCTGAAAATTGAAGAATTTCAATGAGCATATATCATGACTATATCTGCACCCTAAAATTTTCAAGGAAAAAAAACATTGATTGACATTGGTAAGTGATAACCATTTATACATTAACAACCACAAATAAATAATCAAGCACCAAGCTTTACAGAGATAATTTTGTATTCAGATTCGAATTCAAAGAAGCTGCTGTATTATATGAATCAGAGACATTTTTTCTTTTTTTGAATAAAGTTATGAAAGACGTATAAATATGTAAACATTGTCATGCTTTTCTTACCCTTAAAATATGATGGAAAACCAGGAATTCAATTCATTTATTCAACTTTAACCTGGTAAAACCCATTCAATGTTTTCAACAAAGAAACAGGGGACCCTATAACAAACTAGTGAATTAAACCTTAAAATATGATGGAAAACCAGGAATTCAATTCATTTATTCAACTGTAACCTGGTAAAGACTCATTCAATGTTTTCAACCGTTAAAGAAACAGTCGAACCTGTAACAAACTAATGAATTAAACCACGTTTCTTTGTATAAGAAAGAGTCCATCTAATAATAGTAACAGGTTAGGCAAGAAAATCAAGGTAACCCATCAAAGACATATAAATTTTATCATAAGATATTCAATTTACCAATCACAAGTTACAGAGATGTAATAAAGTAAAAAACATTTATGGGTGGCCACAATGACAATAAATAACTATTAATAACTGACCTGCATGGGAACCTAAGTGCTATTTCCACATGCACCTCTCTCTCTCTCTCTCTCTCTCTCTA